GATTTTTATTGGGGTTTTACGAACTAGGCGATATACCAAACGAGTTCCAGAGGGTGATGGATTCATTACTGAAAGACGTTCCTTTTACAATTGTTATATCGACGACATTTTAATAGCTTCAAAAGGATCCCTAAATGAACACAAAGTGATATTAACAAAAATTTTAAACATCTTGGACAACAAGAACAAGGCAGTAAAATGGGAGAAATAGGCATTTTTCCAAAAAAAATAGAGTGGCTGGGTTTCAAGATATCAAATTTGGGGTTAAAACTATTGGAGGGAAAGTCAGATTCTATAAAAACTCTCCCAAACCCCAAAAACATATCTAAATTAAGGTCATTCTTCGGCTCAATCAACCAATATATGAAGTTCGTCCCAAACCTGTCAACACTAAGTTCGCCCTTACGACCACTTTTAGTAAAAGAATCAGTCTACCAATGGAACGACGATCATACGAAGGCTTTCGAAGAAATAAAGAAACAGATTGTCAACATTACAGAGAACAATCGTTTTGACATAAAAAGGATGTCAAGATTAAAAACAGACGCTTCACATAGCGGCCTGGGAGCCATTTTAGAACAATGGGACGAGGAAAATTGGTTAACAATAGCATTCGCTTCTCAATTTTTAAACAGTCATGAAACGAAATATTCTACAAACGAATTAGAAATGTTAGGAGTAGTCTGAGCTACAGAACATTTTAAAAATTACTTGTATGGCGCTCAGTTTGAAATCGTAACGGATCACAAGGCATTGTTATCATCCTTAAATGCAAATCAAAGTAACAAAACTACGCACAGCAGACTAACCCGTTGGGTAAATCGACTTTTACCATTTAACTTCAAGATCAAACACATACCAGGAAAAAAAATGGGACTTACAGATCTACTGTCGAGATTACCTTCAGAAAAAACCCTCCCAACCTCACACTACAATAGCAAATTTGTAGTGGCAACAGTTAAAAAGATTGTAGACAACCTCTCTGTAAATATTGATTGTAAAAAGAGTAATTATATAAATAACGAATTGTACAACCCAGTGGATGTAAATACTTTTAGTAACTTGGATTGCAATAATCCAATGGGCGGAAAGAAAGAACTAACGCTATTCATCCAACGGTCGTTCTTCTCGAATATTCTGAATTACGTCAGGGACACAATTAGAATTTGTAATTCCAATCACTCGCGTTCAGAGTCCTGTACAAGCGGTTGCATCCCATTGAATCTTTCAAAATTCGATTTCAATTACTTTTACCTTTTACTTTTACCTTTTTTTTCTTACTCAGTCACTTTTATCAGTTAACCAGTCCCTAAATTCCGAAAGCAAAAAGCTATTGGTAAAACTTCTCACGTCTGTGAACTCGCTAAAAATTTCCCTCAGGGTGGAAAATAAAGGAATTTTACTGAACTTCAACAACGACATTATGTCTGACATCCATAAAAAACTACTCGTTAAATATAAGGGAGACCTCAAGTTACCAGACACTCCTTTATCCTTCACCGGAAATTGTTCGAACAAATTAATTAGACTCATGACAGACGAGGGCAAAATTCTCAAGGATGTGAAGAAGGCAGTAGAAGAAGGCATACCATTGGATAGATTCGGAGCCTACCTCAAGAATTTCTAAAGAGACATCCATGTGAAAGAAGGATTGTTATTTAACGATAACAAACTGATAGTGCCAGCAGCTCTGAGACCGCCATTTTTGTCGCTTTTCCATAAAACTCACCCAGGACAGCTCGGAATGAAATCTCTGGCAGAAAACATTGGTTTGCTACACTTATACAGAGAGATTTGTTACCATGGAAAAAACTGTATCCAGTGCATCAAGGCTGGTAAGAATGTAAAAATGATTTTGGGTACGAACAATACGGAGAAATTGCCAATCCTTTCTGAACCAAACGAAGAATTAGACTTAGACTTTGCGGGTCCTTTGGACAAAATTTTGGTGCAACTCAAAATATCTTTTAATATGCATCGACCGCTTCTCAAAGTTCCCGTCAGCAAAGGTAGTGAATAACACCTCGGTTTCTTCAATTTTATCTTTCATGTCAGATTGTTTTCACCTTCGTGGTTTTCCGAAGTATATTACAGTCGAAGATGGTTCATGTTTTTTTTTCAAACGGTTCTAGAAACTTCTGCGAGAAGAACAACATTAACTTAACTCTATGTACTGTCGGGGATCACAGATCCAATGAAGTCGTAGAACGACTCATTTACACGGTTAAAGCAAAACTCTTGGCAATGTCGTTTAACGAACCAAAACCATCTTTAAGTACGGCCATTGATAAAATCATTTGGAATATTCGTTCAACGAAACAATCATCCATTGTTGACGCGATTAATGGTCTCAAACGCGATTAATTTAGATAAAGGGAAGTCAATATTGTCAAGGAATAGAACTCAAGACTGGGGAGCAAATGACGCATTCGAAGACGGATATCTGGAGAACACAGTGGCAGACAAAAGGGGGTTTGAGAGCGACCCATCGGACAAACTTGATAGAAACCTTCAGCGAGCCCCACTGTCAAACACATTCAGCCAAAGAGATAACTGGTTTAGGAAGACAGTTAACCGAAGGGAAGGCGAACCTTATTTTAAACCACTTGGGGGAAAACAATTGTCGGATACAAAACATACGGTTTAATTAGACAATGGACATGTACTCAGAAAATCCGATTTAGCTTTTAATAAAAATCAACCGTCGGCTCCCAGTAAATTTTCAGCATTTCCGAACTCGATAAATAATAGTCATGATTTAGCAGGAAACTGAAAGAGAAATTCTCCATTGAAAAGGCCGGACTCAAACGAAGGAGGCCCATCGACGAGCTACAAACCAAAGGGAGAAAAGGCGATGAAAAGGAGGAGAATGAAAACACCGAGTTACAAAGGTCCAAAATTCGCGTATTCTGAATTAGATTCCTCGCTAGAGTTAGACCATTGGGACAAAGTTATCGATGATTATTTGGGTACGGACTGGGAAATTGTATATAATACTCCGACTTATAATATTGGTAGTGTTTTAGATGAGTCAGGACGTACCTTAGCGAGTAAAACCAACACTCAGACGACGATTACGTTCCCAACAGACACATGCGACAACCCAATTAGGATAGAGAGCTCTCCGGAAAAGACAAAAGAGACGCCCACAGCCCCGAAAAGCAACAAATCACGACCCAGAAGGAATCCAGGCCCCCCTAAATTTTACGGAGACAGGCGCTTCATAGACCAGGTGACCCTAGGAGCAGAAATCATCGAAGTCGCGGATTCCGATGACGAGCCCCTGATAACTTTCTCCGGCTCGAAAAGCCTACAGACGACCTTTCCCTCAGACTCACCATCGGATTACTTGACGCCACTCGAGCATATACCTTTCCATCCAACACTGTTTGCGGAAACTACACAAGGCTCCTCGTCAATTCTTTCTTCCATGACGCCAAAGATCGCGGTACTATCCTCTCCATTGGAAGAAGTCAGATCCGACATTCAGGACAATGACAGGAGTGATATATCTTCAGTCATAGACACCGAAGTAAGGAAGAAGACCCACAGTTTCCATGATATATTTAACGCCACATATTAAAACTCTGAAAACTTAAAAACTCTTTTAGCATAATCTTTCAGGGCTGATTTTTCCATTGGTTACCCATTTTAGGCAATTTTACTAATTCTCAAGTTGAGCGATTTTGTACATTTTAATTAGTTAGTTATGTAGTTTAGCTTGTTCAATTTGTTTATATGTCACATAATCCTAATTGTACATAACATTTCGTCAGTTGTACAGTCGCTGTAGATATCTGTTTCATCTTGTAGGTAGCCTGTAAATATTACCACAATGACATATCCATTGTAAATTGCATTATATCTGTGAATTTCTATTGGTGCTAAACGCTGATACTTTTTGTTTCAACTTTGGCCCTGGTGGAGTGAGGGGAGAATGGAGTATATGTGTGATATTGACTACATTGGGGAGTGGGCAGATATAAATTTTTTTGCAGCGGGGAATGTTGTGATTTATTATTTTAGTATATCTTAACCTTGACCTCTATAGATTAATCAAGTACCAGTTAATGTCTACTCTACGAAGTCCAGAGGACTTTGCGTCACTAGTTGCTCTTTTAGGACATCGGTCAGTTTTAATTTACAAATTGTTTTAGTCCTTTTTAACTTAGATAGTTAGTTTAGTTACCAGTGGTATTTACATACTTTTATTAATCAGAATAGGATATTATAATCCAATTGAGCAACCTTGCTTCCCATGGTACAGTGTTAAACAAATTTTCTTCAGTTTCTTAAAGCTTGAACTGGTTTCAAACAATTCGGCGTGTCATTATGGGGTAGAAAAACAATTCTTAGAGTTTTGCTCAATGTTTAGCAGTTTTTAGCAGAATACTGCTGTTTGAATTTCAAAGGCTTCACCGCATCTACTAAATCTGCTTTCAGGAACAAATTACTGTTTATTTATTCGTCTATTATGGTAAGTATATGTTGTGATAAGGTCGCGTATGAGATGATATACGCTTTCAATTGAGTATGATTAGGGTCAGACACATATTAATTTGGTCTTGTTGTAATTCGCTTCGATGGTTACCTTGCTACTGGTTGTAATCGTTATATTTCAAATGGAGAATTTATAGGTTT